TGCATAGCCGACTTTGAGATTTCATGAAGCTTTGGTAAGTCTCCTTACTAGAGGCTGTGAAGAAAATTATAAAGTTTTGACTGGGGGGAAGGGAGGCTGAGGTTGGGGATTAGTGCTTGATTGCTGATAATTATAGCGATAACCCTTCCCCCAAAAGAAAGAAGAATGGATGGATACATTTGATAACAGAGAGGTGCAGAGAGCCAAACCCTTCGGAGCTTAATGGAGGGAAAAGTCTTTTTTAAAGTTGTATATATGAGTTCTAAGAGGATGTACGTACTGAAGTCTCTCTGCTTAAGAGCAGTTGAGGTGGATACGGTATTTGTGGATGAGGCAAAATCTTCCCAGGATGAGGCAGTTCCCACGTGGAGGAGTTGTTCAGAAAAGTCTCTTGTGACCACGGATGAGAATCCGTGAGGGCTGCGTGTTCGAGGAGCACGCCCCGGATTTCACGTGCTCGGTGCCAGGCATGGAGTTCTCCCTGAAGGGCTTGGGGGTTGGGGTGCTGCCTTACATCGGGTTAGCACTTTATAATGTCTGTGGTCACTTCCTCCAGAGATCATCTCACTTCAGGCAGTGAGGGCTGAGGGCAAGGAAAGGTGGTTCTTGCCATCCTACAGATGAGAGACATCTGCAGCTAGAACGGACAGAGCGTTTGTCCTGAGCACCCCAGATGCTTCACCCTGACCTGGGGCTTGGGTTGGGTGTGGGTTCATCGTTGCTCCTGTGAAAGCAGACTCGGAGACATTTGGAGCATCACTCCGACACGGCACAGTACAAAGCAAGGGGAGTGAAAGTCAAGTCGAAAACACCTTGTTTGAGAAGGCAGAAAATGTACAATCGGTGTGTGAAAGAGTTCCGTGAAAATAACTTTTCTAGAAATGGGGAAGTTTGATTTAAAAGGAAAAAAACACTCGGGAATAAAGGATCGTTCGTGAACCCCGGTGTGCACCTGCATGTAAATGCCGTGTGTGAGATGGGTGGGATTTGGTGAGAACACCTGCAGCCTGGAGATAGTGTTCGGCCTCCGTCACTTGGGGAGACGTTTGCAACAACAGCAGGCTCTCTGTTGGGGTGCAGAGGCTGCAGGCTTGCTTGGGTGAGAGCAAGAATCTGGATCTGATCCCCCTGACCCACGGTGCGAAACAGAGCCTCTCTGTTTATTTGCTTCTCTCTCAAATGGCCATCGTAATGGCCGCTCCAACCACCTGACGGCCTTGGGAGGAGAGGACGAGATAATGGGAAAGCTCTGTTGAAAAGGCTGGAGTCTCTGTACCAACGAAAGCTGATGTTTTCTTCCGTAAGACCACCGGGCTGCTGCCCTTCCACTGCCTGGTCACGTGGGAGTAAGGAGGTCTGAGAGCTGGTGAGGGACACAGGTGTGCAGCGACAAGGCCTCTGCGCTCCCCAGAGCATCCTCGAGCTTGTGAACACACGACCTGTCCCTGTGAGGGCCTCAGGGTCACACGGAAGGGCATTTTCGTGACTCGTGTTAGTTCTTACGTACCTGTCATCAGTTCAGAGGGCCGGATGCCAGGCGAAATTCGGGGGGTGGCCAAGTCCTGCTGCTGTGGGAGTTGAAGATGAGGGGTGACCACAGTGTCTAGTGTGCTTCTCAGCGGCAGGCTGCCCAGCACGTGATCGACACAGGGTTCCACGGATCCTTCTGCCCCTCGACGCCAGGTTCCTCAGCGGGTGCGGACTGTGGTCTGTGGGCTTCAGAGCAGCTCTCTGGGCATGGCCTACATAGGTGAGAGTGAATTTTCTGTGTAGCAGTGAGACTGTTCTTCAGCAATAAGACAAAATGTTCCTTGCCCTGGTGGTAGTAGGTGGATTCGCTGAATGAATGAATGAATGAATGTGTACTTTGAGAGATGCCTGGGGCATGATAGCAGGACATTAACTCTGTGAGGTATGAGGCTGCTCAAGGAAAAGTTACTTTATATGTATCCATCTTTATATATAATTTCTTTTTTTAATAAACTGAAGGCTCCCCAGTTTCTAACTTCTAGAGTGATCTGTGTTGTTAAGCCTCTCCTGCCCGGCCTTGTTCTTGCTTAAGTGATTTGTCCAGTTTACTTAATTTCTTAGCCGTTCATTAGATATTGAAAATTGCTTGATTTTTACCAAAAACTGACTTTTCTGTGTCCTTAGGAGACCAAAACTCACATGGTGGTATAGATGTGAGAGCTCCGGTCACAGCTTTGTAGTGTCCACTGAGAACGTGATCACGTGAACGCCCCCCAAATATCTCTGCTTTCAAAAATGAACAGTCAAAAGCCTGCTGATGGTGGGGGGAGGATTATAGCCCATTCCTTGGAGGAAGCACACTCCATGCTGTTTCCCACTGAATGCAAGTCAAACAGTAGGCAGAATGTATGGAGTGGTGTTTAGAGGATACTAAAAGATAGTAGCAGGCACATTGGGGAAGGAAATCAAAATGAGAAGTGTGAGAGATAAGCCAAGAGTTTCCTGTTTGTTCTTCCCCTTTGTCCTGCCTGCGCTCCAAGGCAACCTGAATCCCAGAAGTGCACACTTCCAAGACAGTCCCTCTCTTTCCAGCCCAAGGAGCAGGAATGGAAGTCCCTTTGGGACAGAGACTGGGAGAAATCCTACCAACTTCCATGCAAACCCTGTTAACATGTGGAATGTACATTCTAGACTTTTTTAAAAAAGCATAGTTTGTAAATGCCCTTCGTAGCCAACCCACGTCGTTTCCTGTGATTACTTTTCTGCACAGTATTTTGTTTCCTGTAGAGTTAGTGATTGCCTTGCTTTTTGCTTTCCTAGCTGTCTGTGCACACACACATTCGTCCCCATGTGGTGATTCTTTATTCAGGGCTGTCGGAGGCAGTGGGCTCTGTTGGAGGCACCTCCTCCAGGGCGACCCTCACGCACGCCTACCCGCCCCCTGCACTGTCCGCGCTCACAGTCCCTGGGCCCTCCCTTCGTTGGCGTCCTGGTGGGTCCCGTCTCCTTTTTTCTGCATTTACTCCTTTGCTTTACAGAGTATATCCTTGTAATTCCCTGAAAACAAGAGTACATAGGTGGTAAATATTATGAAATCTTGTGTATGTGAAAATGGCTTTAGTTTATCCTTTACTGTAGGGCCAGTTAGTAGTATGGCTGGGTATAGGATTCTAAGTTGGAAATCATTTTCCCACAGAATTTGGAGGCATTCTTCCAAAGCCTTCTGTTTTCCAGTATTGTTTTTGAAAAAGCCTGAGTCTTGATCCTTTATATGAAGCTTGTTTCTAATTTCTGGAGGCGTTGGGGTCTCCTGCTATGTAGGTCTGTTTTCTTCTGTTGAGCTGCATGTTCAGTGACCTTCTGAATGTGAAAATCCATACCCTCTCTGTGGTGTGTTCAACCTGCCATCCTTAAGTAGAAATCTGGATACATTTTTTTTTAAAGGGAGATTGTAATAGAACATGTATTTCCCAAAGCCTGGAATATCATTGGTGAGATGCTGAAAAGGATCATGTTGATTAAATTGGGCAACTAATCAGAACTTAAAAATGTGCTGACCAGCATAAAATACAGACAGGCACACATTTTGTTTGACAGAGCAAATAAGAATTGCAGTGAGTGAGTTGTTTAAACCACTTACGAGTCCAGTGTGTGGCCCAGATGTGTGTCAGAGACGGGTAGATTTATTTATGAACTTTTCTCACTCTTACTAAAAGGGAAAAACATGCAGTTCTACCCACATAATAATTTCAGAAGACTGAAGGCACATCCACCTCAGTGTCTTGTCTCGGTTCGGTCGCCAAATATCACAAACCAAGTCTTCTCGCAGTTGACTGCTCCAGTCTCTGGCGCTTCGGCTAAGTTAGCGAAAGAGTTGTCCCCAAGCTGAGCACTGGAAGTTTTCCTAGATATTTTTCCCAAAATGGCTCTGGTAGTAAATCAATCAATGACTCTTCCTCTATCAGTGTAATTTTAAAAGCTGGGTAAACGTCTGCTGAAATGTGCTATAGAAAGTGCCAGCATCGAAGGAACGTTCCGAGGCCGCATGCTTCATCTCTAGGACCAGACCCCTTCCGAGCACTGTCCAAAAAATAGTGAACATTGAGTGGCAGACTTCACGGTGGGGTCTTATGTATCTCAGCATGAACTCGTGAAGGCAGAACACTCCCGTGCGTCTCCTCTGTGCTCAGCGCCCACACCGAGCGCTTCTCTGACCAGATGTGGGGAATGCACTGTGATCCTGGCTCCCTGGGGACAGTATCAGATCCCAGAGACTAAAGACTCCATGTCACACTCACTGTCCCCACCTCCTGCTTCACACACCAGTCCCATGTCTGGGTTGTCCCCGCGCTTCTGACCCCCCAGCTATAAATTGGAGGTTCCTGTGATGACTCCTCAGGTTGAATAATATGCTAAATGTTGCTCACAACTCAGGAAAACATGTTACTAGATTTCCCCTGTATTCTAAGAGGATATAACTTAGGGCAGCCAAATGGACGAGATGCCCCAGGCGAGGTGTGTGGGAAGGGGTGCAGAGCTTCCGTGCCCTGTCCGGGTGCGCCCCTCCTCCCAGTACCCCGTATCTCGACTCTTTCACCACCCTGGAAGCTCTCTGAACCTTCATCCTTCAGGATTTTTGTGGAGGCTTCATTACATAAGCGGGATCGATGAGGCCATTGGCCATGGGTGATTAACTCAGCCTCCAGCCCTTCTCCCCTCCTCGGAGGTCCAGCCCCCTGACGGCCTGGTTAGCCCTGCTGGCATCCAGCCCCCATCCTCTGGGGCTTTCCGAGAGCAACCTCGTTAGCATGTGCTCAGGTGCGTTGGAAGGGCCTTGTGAGGAATAACCAAAGAAAGCCACCTTGATCTCAGGAAATTCCCAAGGTTGTGCAAGCAGAATGAAGTCAGAGAGCAAATATATATTTCTGATTAGAAATCACCATATCAGAAAGCTTAATTCTGAACAGTAGTAATCACGGCGCACTTCCATGTGGGCCAGTAACGAATCTTGTGTTCTCTTTTCCCATCAGCTTTTTGGAGACTGGGAAGCCCAGCTGCGGAGAATAATGAAGCTCATCGCTGGCGGCGGCCTGTCCATCACTGGCTCTCACAACATGTGCGGGGACTATCTGTACAGCGGTCACACGGTCATGCTCACACTCACCTACTTATTTATCAAAGAGTGTAAGTCCACAGCAGCCTTCCATGACATCTGCCATGTCCCCCGGTCTCTGCGGAGTCCCCTGCAAGAGGGCGGCACCTCCTGTCCCCACCGCGCCCAGACACAGGGTCCCCTGGAGTGACCCGTGTGTGTGTGTGTGTGTAGGGCGTGGGGAGTGACTTGTTCCCTCGAGTGTCAGCGTAGCATGTGGGATGCGTCAGAGCTCCTGGAAGGAGCCAGAAGGAAATCTCCTAAGACCACAGGACTCCAGCATCAGGCCTGGTAGGATGTGATCATAGACCAGGTGTTTTCAGGTTCCTGGCCCTCTGCCCTAAGCGGGGACAGAAGGGGCTCGGTGACGTGGGCTCGGGGACACTAAATGAGGCAGGCACTGAATGGGAAATTCCCTTTATAAAAATGTACTTAAATACTTCATTATGAGACACACAAAAAATAATACTAAATATGCCCCTGTCCAGTGCTCAGGCTTAATAGTAGCATTTGCCGTGTCTGTTTTGTTTAACCCGTTAAAAACCAAATAAAATGTAACGAGGTGATTATGGCCTTTCATTCCTTCCTCTCCCATTTTCCTGTGTCACGTCCATGCATGTTTTGGTGCTTGCGTGTCATGGTGTGAGGTTTTGTCAAATCTACATAATGGTATTATGTTCTCTGTGGTCTTCCAACTTGTTTTCTCTCAGACGATGTTGGTGAGACATGAGGCTCTGGCCCATTGTAATGAACCACAGGTTAATTTTTCTCCTTATAGAAAATGCAGTTGTCCTCAATATTTTACTGTTAAAAACAGTCTCGATGAGCATTATTCAGGCAGTTTCCATGAAGAATAGTGAGTAGACCCGGGCTGTCGGTACCTTGGAAGAGGGACGCACACACTGCAGTCTGGACGTGTCTTGGGAGTGAGTGTGTGGCACCGTCTGGAATGTTGGTGTGGTTGGAATTCAGAGCGGTGGTAGTGATGAGAAGTCACAAATGAACTGATCAGTAAGAACCAGATCATGGAGCGTGCCTGAAACCGTGAGGAGTCTGAACTTACATTCTCTCAGAGACGGGGCCATACCATCCTGTTCCTCCTCCAGAGAAGGAGAAACCACTGCTGGGGCAGGTGCAGGATGGGTGGAGGGGGCCGGGCTGGAGAGCAGGGTGAGAGTGGGGGGCCGGCTGCTGCCATAATCCAGGGAAGACATGGGGTGGCCTGAACCACCGTGATGGTGTTGGCGTTGGCAAGACGCGGAGGGAACGGAGAGAGGTCCACAAACAAGAGTCCGCAGAGAGCAGGGCTGACTGGGAGCACGGGAGACAGCTGAAGACCAAAGGCTTAGAAGCCCAGTTTTGGTCTTTTTTTTTTTTTTAAGATTTTATTTGACAGAGAGAGCACAAGCAGGGGGAGCAGCAGAGGAAGAAGGAGAAGCAGATTCCCCCCTGAACAGGGAGCCCAACGCGGGACTCGATCCCAGGACCCTGAGATCATGACCTGAGCTGAAGGCAGACACTTCACTGACTGAGCCCCCTAGGCGTCCCGGGCCAGTTTTGGTCTTAAACTAAGATAGGGAAGACAGGAGAAGAGGAGATGTGCTGCAGGGCACCGGGAGAAGGAAGTGTAGGTGTTCTTCCACTCGCACTTGGCATGTGACCAAGTAGAGTGAATTCTAACAGTTTCTGTTCAGAACTGTCAGGGCTCCATCTTGCCCTTGTGCTGGGGCGAGCTGGCCATGGTGCTGGGGGCCACGCAGGCTGCGGCTGGGGGAGTGCTCCCACCCCCTGCTGATTGTACTACAGTGGGGGCTAAGCCTTGTCCTTGAAGGAATCCCAGAGTGCCATGTTGGGAGACTGGGAAGACTGGGGTCACAAACGTGGATTTTGAGTCCTGGTGCTACCACGAGCTCTGTGACCTTGGGGACCACCTTTAACCTCCCTCATCTTTAGAATGAGCTACTGGTACCCACCCTGTGGCTGAGGGAGAGGTGGTAGGAATGAAAACAGACAGCATTCATGGGCTCCGACAGAGTTGCATGAGGAATGAACGGTATCTGCTGCTGTTGTGTTGTTAGGGTGCAAATACAGATTCTCCTGGGGGTGGAATATAGAGTGCCCGCCCTTGCCCTGACCACTCCATTTAAAGCTGCAAACTTCCCTTCCCCTTCTCTGTTTCTGATCCTGCTTCTCCTGTTCAACTTCTTAATTTTCCCTTGGCATTTAACACCTTCTAACATAGCGTATAATTTACTTATTTATTATAATTATTTTGTATTGTCTCTCCTCCATGCTGGGAAGGGATCTGCCTGCAGGGTAGGTTCTTTACCTGTTTACTCGTTGATCTCAGTAGCTAGAGCATCTCCTGTCCTGGGCACATAGGAGATGCTCGATAAATACTGGTGAAATGGATGACTAGTTCTTAGACCTCTTGAGAATCCAATAAAAGTGTGAACTTCCTCCCCCTGGGTAGGGAGGATGGATCACATGCAAATGACATTTCTGTGTAAAATGTCAGACCCTCTTGAGCCCATTCTTCCAGAATACAAGGTGGGAAAGCCTGCACTCATAGAGATTTTGATGCTTTCCCACCAGGGGGCTTCCAAATGGTGGTATGGACAGGTGTTTATCTGACCCTGCCCTGCCTTTGAATGCACTTGGACCTAAATTCCTGGGCAACTGGATCCTTTCTTATTTCCATTTGAGAAACGGAAATCTCCAAGACTTTCAGATTAGCGTGTGGTCACAGAGGTTGGAAAGCAAATAAAACAGTATCAATTATGACTGCCTAGTCCCTCTATAAGGATCTCTAGACCAAAAAAAAGGTATTGATTTGTGTTTAGAGCATTAACCCCAAATTATTTACAAGTAAATTGACTTAAATGTCAGTGGACAGTTTTGTGGTTTGTTTTTTTTTAATAGAGCATGATGCATTATCCTGTCCATTGCCGTTTTAAGCTGTATTTTATGATTATATGAATCCAGCAATAACCAAACATAAATTACAATCGCTGATAAAATCATAAAATAAGCTGCTGCCATTCTTGCCTTGGTTACGTAGAAGCTAAAGCCCTTAGATTTGCTGCCTGCGTGACATGTTTCCGGAAGGAAAGGTCAGAGTCACTGGGTGCAGGAGCGGTCATAGAGGTGCAGTTGGGTGCCCTAGAGGTGCTAGGACGACGGGGCTACGGTGAGTGTCTTGTCTTTGCAGATTCCCCTCGACGATTCTGGTGGTACCACTGGATCTGCTGGCTGCTCAGCGTGGTTGGGATCTTCTGCATCCTCTTGGCGCACGACCACTACACTGTGGACGTGGTGGTGGCCTACTACATCACCACGAGACTCTTCTGGTGGTACCACACGATGGCCAACCAGCAAGTGAGTGTCCCTCCTCGTGGGATTGCAGCCTCTTCCCCCTGGCCCGGCGGTGCCCACATGGCAGGGGGAGGGGGCGGACCGTCCGGCATCTAAGGTGGGGTTGTCTTTTGTGACGCTGACCCACTTGGGAATAAAAAGTGAACAGGGAATGTGTGAGTGCAGCGACACGAACATAGCGTCCTTCTAGAGCGAGGGCCTCCCTCCCACCGCCCCTGACAAATGTCTCGGCTGCGCCCACCAGCTGCGCCTGGTCTCCATCCGCCCCCACCCCAGCCGAGTCCTGAATGTCCATCACAGAAAGTCACCAAAACACTGGTTGAGGGATACATGTATGGAGGAGAGATGGAGTAAGGCCCGTGTTGTCCGTGCGCTCCCGGAATTGGCTTGTTTTCCTGCTGGGGTGTGGCCCAGTTAGCAGATGAGCACAGAGTGGCCACGTGCGTGTAACGGGGGCACGAGCGGCACGCGGGGCGGGTCTGGGGTCCTTGGTGAACTGGAATAAGGAATAAGGAAACCATCTAAACTCTCGGTGGAAGGTGGTTAGCAAAGCATGCGTGTTCCTTTTGGGGCTGGGACAGTGTCTCCTTCCCCTTGACGTGGTTTTCCTGTCCTTGTTCTCCTAGGTGCTAAAAGAAGCTTCCCAGATGAACCTCCTGGCTAGGGTGTGGTGGTACAGGCCGTTTCAGTACTTCGAAAAGAATGTCCAAGGAATCGTACCTCGCTCTTACCATTGGCCCTTCCCCTGGCCAGTCGTCCACCTCAGCAGACAAGTGAAATACAGCCGCTTGGTGAACGACACATAACGGCCGCTCAAGGCCCTGGAGTGTGGAGCTGTCCGAAGTGCTAAGAACTCCGTGAGAGAAGATGCCATAAACAAACACCTCCCTAATCCTGTTCTCTTTCAAAAGTTACCTTGACTTAACCTATTGAGTTACCTGGTCAGCACTGTGATCTTTTTTTCTCTCCAAAGGACCTGCGTTGGACAACAATAAAGAGAATTTAACCTATCATGCACTGTACACATTTTCCTGTTCATAAGTTTGGGATTTCCATAACCTGCGACCACCCTGTTCCTTTGTATATGATGCAACAGCATAAATGTAAGCTTTTATATCATCAGTTCTGGTCTTTCCAGGCACATCTGGAAATAAAGCGTATTATTTTCTTGGGAAAACATACTTTTCATATCTCTTGCCCCAAAGATTGGGCTGTAAGCCATTTTCTAGCAAATGTCTCTATGAAGGTTTCTGAGTACCTGAATGGGGTTCAATTCTGAAATCTTTCTACCTGTTGCACCGATATTCAAATAAAAATGACAGACACAGAAAGGTTCGGTAACTTTGGGTTTTGTAAAAATCAGCAGAGAGTGTGTCAAAAAGTGCAAAAAAAAAAAAAGATTCTGTTATAAAGTGATTTTCTAAGTATTTCCTAACTTTATTTTTCAAAATAATGTTATGAAAACCAAATTTAAAGATTTTTACATGTCGGAGAGAAGAGAGTTAAAATTTAAAAATGCTTCTTGGGAGAGAAATTTGTCTATGTTTCTAGTGCCTTTCTTGTCTTGATTGTATGGTCAGTAGGCAATCTTAAATGTTTTTATTTAAAATAAAATATTCCATGGAAATATAAATGTATGTATACACTACTAAATTTTGCATTTATAGCTAAATTAAATCAGAAGACTGCTTATGGTTTTTAAATCGCTATGAATTAAAGAAAGGGGGAGTTAATCAGAAAGTCAGAACCTGTTCCCATATTGTGAGCAGGTAGCAATGACATGTACCACTTAAATTATTTTATCACCTATTTGGTAGTTCGATTTTAACTATACAGTGAAAACAGCCATGAATACTTTGTTTTTAAAAAGAGAGTTTTGAAAAATGATCACTTAACTAAACAACGTGAAAGCTCTAAATTAGTTATCCATACTCTCACGACAATTTTGTTGGTGAACAACAAAACAGAGATCTATTTCTTTAAAATATATTTGTGCAGAAACTGCATGTAACTCTAAGTTTTACTCCTAACATGAGTATGTTTGGGGAAGTATTCTCTTCTATACTTGCCAATGTGGAGAACAAAATAGTTTTTTAAGAATGAAGAAGTATATATATCCATTCTGTATTTTATGCAGCAGAATTATCTTCCATAGGGTTTTTTTGTGTATTCACAAGGTGATATTTGTATTGTAAAACAATAATGGTGAAGGAAATAAAAAGGCTTTTAAAATTTTGTTTGTTTTAAATATTTGTAAAGTTACTATTCCAGAGAGTATACTGATATCTTAACAGCTTACCTAGATCATAAATTAATCAAAATGCACTTTTTAATAAAACCTGATACTTAAAATAAATGGCTGTTATTTCTAATGTGTTCACATCCTTCCCAGAAGTCGTTGACGAAGTCATTAAAGAAAACACTGCGTTTTTGGACCTTCTTCCTTGGTTTTGTTTGAGACAGGGCCTGTGGCAACCCTGTTTCTTTCCACTTAAGGTTTCTGAAAGTGTACGAGTGTCGTTTTGAAAATACATAAGAAGAATTGAAGGTGAGTTAAATTCAAGCTACAGTCCACGTTGGCTAGAGATGTCAAGCCGGTGAGATTTCCTGCGTGGGGCTCTGGACCGGTGTCTCTGTCAGAACGTGGGATGGCCTCTGGAGGCAAGTTGACCAGAATTCTGGGATGGCCATTTCACTGGTACAGCCTTTTCCTGACCTTGACTGTCGGACAGGTGCTGCGTATCGAAGGGGAAGGCAGCTTGCGTAACGAAAATGCAGTAATTGCAAATGCTAAAAATTGGATCTTTTTTTTCCTAAGTCAAGTAGTTTTATTAAAAAAAGAAAGTGATTACTACAGGTTTGCATCCTACATATGTACTAAAGAAATTCGTGCCTGACTGTACTGGTTCATGAATGGACGTACCCTGTGGCTCCCCGTCTGCAGATCCCAGGAAGGACAGAGAAATCTCGTGTTCTGGAGAATCCTAGTCCACTTGATAAAGCCTGATTGAGGACATGCGCTTTTTTTGTCCTTTAGTTTGCTAAGACAAAGCCCTGGACAACTCCTTTGTTGGGCTCTCTTTATGAGGAGGGCATTTTACATGTATTGTTAACCCTCACAAAACCACAAGGTTAGTTATTACCCCGTCTTGCAGGAGGTGACTGATTGGAGTTCCGGTTTCCACCCTCTCCCCAGCACCCCGTGCCCCCCAAATACTGTTGAGTGTTCATAAATTGTATGGGAAGAGTCAGCAGTGGGAGAAATCGGTGCCTGTCCTGGAAAAGCCAAGTGGGACACCTCTTACTATGGACTGAGTAGTAGGCAATGCACATCACGAGGTGAGAGACTAATTTTGCCAAATTCCTAACTGCTAAATGTTTTATTTGTATCCCAAATACCTACTTGATGTGATAAGTATCTCATAAACTTTATAAATACCACATAAAATGAGAATCCCTGTTAGCTTTAATTTGACCTTCGTTATACAAAAAGTCAACCATGGAATTGAGTTAACTAGGGTATAGAATATGCTACTTGGATCCCTTGATAATGATTTTTTTTTTTTTTAAGATGTACTTATTTTAGAGAAAGAGTGTGCAGCGGGGATGGGCAGAGAGAGAATCTCAAGCAGACTCCCCACTGAGTGTGGAGCCCGACACAGGGCTTGATCTCATGACCCTGAGATCACAACCTAAGCCAAAACCAAGAGTCAGACGCTGATGCTGATATTCTTTTTTTTTCTCTCCCTTTGGTCAGGAAACTTCGAGCAAATCCAGACTTGATATTCTGCTTATCAGCACCTTAAAGTTCTTCTCTGCCTGCTGGCTCAGCAGGAGTCACGAGAAAATTAAGCAACCTGCTAGGTCCAGACTCCAGCCTTCCGAGGTCAGAGATGGGCGTGGTCCGTGAGGGGAAGTTGCACAAAACTGGAACGAGGGAGGGAGAGGGGAGGGAGGGAGAGGGTTGGGATCGCGGGGAGAGTGGCAGGACAGTGCAGACGGCCCTGGCTTACTATCGGTGAAGACAGGGAAGGAGAATTTATCACGAGAGCTAACACGTGTTTTGCATGTGTGAGAAATCCTTTGTGTTCTCGAGAGTTGGCCTAGCACCAGTGTCATTTAGCATCTAGCAACTGAGAAAATGCATGCTATGGATTTAGAAATGCCCTTGAGGCTTTGTGGTTTGCCAGTGACAGTGTACGCGTAACATCTGATCGACAGGAGTAGTACTTAACTCGGCCGTTCATTATTCCATCAACACATCATGGTTGGTGAGTGCAAAGATTCGAGAGTCTCTTGAGAATTCTTGGGACAGGTTTAGTGAAGATTTGAAGACAGAGATTAATGAGATAGGCAGACTCCCATGTTTTTCAAAGTTAAAGAAGTAGGGAGTCCAAATTAAGAGGCCTATGCAAAATCCCGTGTCCTAGTTCCTGTGTTGAAGTTCCTGGCTTGAGGGGCCAAAATGGCATCCCAGGTGAGGACAAGGGAAGGCTCTGACACCTAAGAGGGACCGGCCCTGAGTTCCCTCCCAGCCCCCTGGTGGCCTAGAACCTCATGTGTTGTGATGCTCTCTTGTTAGATGCATACACATTAAAGTTGCTATGTCTTCTTGGAGGATTGACCGCTTTACTGTTCTGTCGTCTCTCTATTCCTGATAATATTCCTTGTTGTGAAGTCTGATTTGTCTGAAATTAAAGTAACGACTCCAGCTTTCTTCTGATGAGTGTTCGCATGGTATATATCCTTCTCGACCCCTTTATTTTTACCTCTCTGGATCTTTATAAAGTGGGTTTCTTATAGAATATATAGCAGATAAATGGCATTTTGTTTTTAATCTATTCTACAGTCTCTTATTTTTTTTTAAAAGATTTTATTTATTTGACAGAGCGAGAGAAGGAACACAAGCAGGGGGAGTGGGAGAGGGAGAAGCAGGCTTCCCACTGAGCAGGGAGCCCGATGTGGGGCTTGATCCCAGGACCCTGGGATCATGACCCGAGCCGAAGGCAGACGCTTAACGACTGAGCCACCCAGGTGCCCCAGTCTCTGTCTTTTTAATTGGTGTGTTTAGACCTGTCACATTTAAACTATAATTGATAACACGGTTGACCCTTGAACAATACGGGTTTGGACTGAGCAGGCCCACTTACACATGGGTTTTTTCAATAAATACAGTACTGTAAATGTACTTTCATGATTTTCCTGATATTTTTTTCTCTAGCTTTATTCTAATACATGTACAAAATATGTGTTGTTATTGATAAGGCTTCTGGTCAACAGGCTATTAGTAGATAAATTTGGGGAGAGTCAAAATTTTTATGTGGATTTTCGACTCCCGCCTCCCCTCCCCGCCACGCCCCCCCAGCAGTTCATCTAAGTTACCGTGTAAGTGTTCCTCATAATTTATGGCTCTGGTGGCTTCTGCTCCGTGCAAGCAGATCTCAGCTGTGACTCTGGATGCACCTGTCTCTCCAGATTTGGAGGGTGGTGGTTGGACCCATTGACCCAAAAAAGTCATTTTTTGAAACGTTTGTCCAGCCTTTTCTAGTTGTAAGGATGGGAATGGTGACTTGACTCCAAAGCTCTTTGCATGTTGAGGATGAAACCAGAAGCCCTTGGTGACCCAGTTTTTGTGGTCAAAATAAATTTGGAGGACAATGAATAAGCTGTTATCTGAAGAGTACTTTTAATGGCTGGACATACAAATTTGTGTTCTAATGACAATTGAAGACCTAAAAATAGAAATGGCTGTTAAGAGTCCGTTTTAATGACCTGTAACTCTCAACACACCGGGTGTCCAAAAGAACATGAAGACAGTTAGCACTGGATTGGGGAAAAGAGGGGGCACATTCACGTATCTTAACTGCAAGCTTACTTCCTGGAGCCTTTAATTTGCTCTCCCCCTAGAGGACTAGGATGCAGCTGAGCACCAAAGCAAACCCAAACTCCAGAGGAACCTGAATGACTTTCCCTCTCCTTTTTTTCTTTGGACTGCTCCCATGGCTAGTTTTCTGAGAGCCCTGTGGCATATCCCAAGCTGGTCCCTGGGAAAGATCTGGTTAGTAACAAGTAAGACATTGGTTAGTAACAAATAACGATTGCTTACGAGGAACATCAAAACAGGGCGCCTGGGTGGCTCAGTTGGTTAAGCGACTGCTTTCGGCTCAGGTCGTGATCCTGGAGTCCCAGGATCGAGTCCCGCATCGGGCTCCCTGCTCAGCGGGGAGTCTGCTTCTCCCTCTGACCCTCCCCCCCATGTGCTCTCTCTCTCATTCTCTCTCTCTCAAATAAACAAATAAAATCTTTAAAACAAAAAAAAAAAACATTACAAGAAAGTGTCAGGTGCCTACCGTCCAGAATGCTTGGTCTATTTTTGCCAGAGGGTTTACAGTATGTTCTGTTGGGTTAGTCAGTTTTTCTTCTCAGTCCCTCTCTTTTTGGCTTGGACTAAGATAAATTCTAAATAGTTTAACTCAGTGGTTTACTGGCGCTTGGGATCTGCTCCCCTGGCCAGCTCTGTGTTGGGAGGATCTGGTATTGTTTTCATTGCTTCCTGCCGATAGTATTCATCAGCACGAGAGGAGAAGCCAAAGGAGGTTTCGGCCAAAGCATTGTGTGTTTAGTAAAGAGCCTGTGACTGCAGAAAGGCACACAGCGGGTTTTCCATGGGGGATGTGTAGCCATGCTCCCTGATATCTTAGGATGTTTCAGGGGGAAAAAAAATCATTTGGGAAAAAGCATGATCTGTTACAATGAACGTTTGTTTGGAAGGCTTCTCTGAAATCCTTGGCTTTGAGTTTCAAGAGGCCACAGTCCAGTCATTGCCAGGCTTATGGGAAGCATGTTCATTGCCAGCCTGAGTGGTCCCTGGAACCTTCTGACCTCTGGCTGTGTTGGGCCAGGACAGTGGCCCCTGGTATGGGTAGGCAGTGAGGATGCAGTGTGTTTGCAGCAAAAGCTTCCATTCTGCAGACGCTCCAATGAGCCTAGCAGGTTCGGTCCAGCCCGGAGGCGGGCAGACACACTTGCTTAGGCGAGTACTAGCTGCCTTTCTCCGCGGGTTCCAGGGGCGGGCATGTAAAGCAAATGACGAGAAGAGGAGCTAGGTCCAGTTAGCGTTGCCGGCATACGTCTGCCCTAGAAGCATCACTGGCCTGGGACGTGGGCGCGCATTGCTGTGCTCAGGAGCTGAGCCCAGATGACCACAGAGCTTGATCTCTACCCCCTGTGGCTTGCAGGGCCCGCTCCAAACCCTGGGGCCAAGTGGCTCCCTAATGAGGTTTCCCCTGGGGCTCCCGGTTCCTGAGCAGAGAGAAGCAACTGCAGGAAGGTAGAGGGATCCAAGCAGGGAGTTGG